GGCGGCGCGGGCGCGGGGCGCGGGGCAGGGCGCAAGGACTCTGGGGCGCGGTTGGCGCCCGGGGAGGCGACCCTGGCGCTGCGGGGGGCCGTGCTCTGGGCTCTGCCCGCTGCGGTCCATGGCCTCGCTCGGCTCCCGGGTCCGGCCTCCCTGCCAACTTTCAGCTGTTTGGGGGGCACCCTGCCCGGCCGGGTTGGGTGCCTAGGAGAAGGAACACGGAAGCACTGTGCTCCCCACGCCTCGGCCGCCCCTCGCCTGCAGCCCTTCTGCGACTTTGGCGAGACCAAGCGCGCTGCTAGGTCTCCAGGCAGTGGGACGGGCAGCTGGGGGAGGTGACCCGTGGAGGAGCAAATGTTAGGTGCGGAACTTCTGCAAGGTCTAGAAACTGAGCATGCATGTACATGCATGTGTGTGCACATACCTAAATTACAAAGATTCACCTACACGCGTTTCTGCATCCATGAAGACAGGTGTTTGGGGTCAAAATAAGTAAGACCGCTGCTTTCACTTCCCCCAACAGTCACCGTCTCAGGAATGGTCTCTCACAGACACGATTTTGTTTACTGTACCTTAAGCCACCAAGGAGCGAGCTGCACTGAAAATAGGAGCCTTGTGAGAAGGGAGACTCAGCCGACAAGTATGGCCCAGCCCTCCGTCCCTGCCCCGCCTCCCCAGGCCAGGAGAAGCTGGGTCGTCTCCTTCCGCAGCACTGGGACGGACTGGAAAGTCACTGCTAATGGGTCCCCCAGGCCTGTCAAGTTTTCTCCTAGTCCCCTAACCCCACAGTGCCCCATTCATATCCTGGAGAGTAAGGACCTCTCCCATATGCCAGAAACATATAAAAGAAAGCTAGGAATTTCCCCCAAACAACTCACAAACTTCCTAAGAAAGGTTTCCAATTATATTACAACTTCTGCTATAAACACACAGATGTTTCTCATTTTAAAGGTTTAGCTTTTAAAATGCTTAGAAGTTTCCAAATATATAAGGAAAAAGTGTCAATTTCTTACAAGGCTTAGATTGAAAATGGCTGTAGCAGTGCAATGAAAGCCTTGTGCGAACTGTTTTGAGATACTGTAAGCCTTGTATGAACTGTTTAATTACCTTTTAACTATCTTATTGGTAAGAAGTTTTTGGAATAAAAATACTTTTTTTGGAGCCGTGGCAAAAGATACAACATCCATGCATTTTCTCCCTTCTACTGGTGTGTTCAACATCACATCAATGGCGTGTTTAACAACGCGATATTTATGCAAGGCAGAGCTGTTAAATGTTTCATGAAGCCAAGAACAAGTAACATTCCTCATGGACAGACATCAGATGTATTCTGTACAAAGAAAACCAAGTTTTTCGGGGTTTTTTTTTGTTTTGGGGGGTTTTTTGTTTGTTTGTTTGTTTTCCCCTTACCAGGAATCGAACTCACGACCTTGCTCTTGCCAGGCAGGCACTGTGCTGCTGAGCTAAATTCCCAGCCCCGAAAACCAACTTTTAACAAGTACTGAAGCTGCAAAACCACGTGAAATCTTTACAGGAAATGAATGGAATTTTGAAAGGAAATAGAAGAGTCAATCTGTAACTATTGTTCTACTTAGAAGTAGAAATTCAAATGTACCATCTTATTTTATTACCTGGAGTCAACGTAATCTTTAGCTATCTTCACATTCTTCTGTATTAGCACATTATCCTATGTACAGTTGAGTTTTACCTAGAGTAAACAAAGTAATATTCTCTTTTTAGAGTAGTGTTTAAGATTATAGTGATTTTGCTAAAATTCTTAAAAATTCTTAAATTTTGTAAGTCTTTCTTCTTTGGAAATAGATGATGCACATTTCGTTGATGTGCCATATTTTAAATCAGTTATGGCTGTTTTTTGCTTTTGAACATTTTGCCATTCCTCTTAAAATACTAGGACAAAAATTGGCATGATTTTTAGAAGAGCTTTAAAAACAAAAAGAAAATAATTCCCTTTGCCAGACTGTGATTGATATCTATTAGTGTGGTATTATTATATTCAAAAAGTTCCCATCGTTGCCAGCCTATACGTTAGACATGGCTCCTCAAATGTATATAGTGAAAGAGATGTTTACCTATCTGAAAAGTTGCTATAGACACCAAGTTGCTCAGTTGTATTATCTATTCATTTTACTAAAAGATATTTGCTTTCCAAGTCTAGCAATACAAAATTTTCAGAGAACATGAAATGAAAGTAGAACACTTTAAAATATGCCTGTGCTAGTAAGTTTTAGACATGGGTAAAATTCCATTAAAATGAACAAAAAGTAAATATCATGTGCAATTATACAGAGTCCATTTATCCACAGCAATGTTTGATCTGATGAGTTTTCACTTCATGGAAAAGGATGTGCATAGCAAAGGGCATGGACTCCAGTCTGCAACCAGTTTGGCATTTTCGTATATTTAGAAGAGTCACACAGTAAGAAGTCCATCTTTCTATTACCATTACCAGTGTAGCTCAAATATCACCATATTCATTGCCCCTTTAGTCCGAATCTCGATTACGATACCTTTTCCTTGACCATAGCAATATCCTTCTCACTAGTGTCCTGAACTGTGTCCTGATCACTCACATCAAGCTGGCTTCTGCTGCAGTCTTTGTCCTACCTGCCCCTTTTTTTTTGTTTTTGTTTTTGTTTTTGTTTTGGTTTTGGTTTTGGTTTTGGTTTTTTTCCGGTATGGGGAATCGAACTCACGACCTCGTGCTTGCCAGGGAGGCGCTGTGCCACTGAGCTAAATCCCCAGACCCCTGCCTCTCCCTTCTACTAGAAATGCACCTATACACATCTTACAAAGGGTACATTCTCTTGTCCTTGGGTCAGATTTAAAGGCTGTCTCTTCAGAGAGACCCTCCCTAATCACCCAAGCTAAAGAAGTTATGCGGGGTCTGGAACTTTTAGAAAGGTAAATTAATAGATTTTATTTTTCTGATAAGGTTTAAAGTTTTCTAGAACAATTGAACAGGAAGTATGGAGTTCCCACATATCTTCTTAAACTCCCAATAAACAATTCCTCCTGAAATGAACATCTTGCATTAATGGGGCACCTTTCTTGATAAGCCAATACTGAATAATATTAACTGTAGTTCATGGTTTACAATAGGGTTCAGTCTTTGTGTTGTACATTTTTCAGCTTTTGAAGTGTATAGTGTCACATATCCACCATTACAGTATTGTACAGAACAGTTTTATTGCTCTTCCAATCTCCTCTACCCTACCCATTCATCCCTACTTCCCCTTCTCTGAAGCTTTTTACTCTTTCCCTAGTTTGGATGTTTTAAGAATATCATATAGTTGGAATTACACAGTATGTAGATGTTTCAGTTTGGTTTCTTTCACTTAGTAATATGCACTTCAGTTTCTTCTGTGTCTTTTAGTGGCTTGATATTCATTTTTATTGCTGAATAATATTCCACTGTGTTATGGTTTAAATTGTGCCCCACCCAAAAAATGAAGTCCTAATCACGGGTGAATGTTACCTTATTTGAAAATAGGGTCTTTGCAAATGACCAAGTTAAGGTGATGTCACAGTGAGCCCTACTTCCAGCGTGATGATGTTCTTAAAAAAGTAACTACTGGGATGCAGAGACAGAGGCATTGGAAGAACACCAGGGGAAGACTGAAGTTATTATGCCACACTGCAATGTATGACAAAGATTACCACCAATGAGTAGAAGCTAGCAAAGAGACAGAAGAGGGGCAAAAGGGACGAGAAAGCCTGTTTTCCTCCCTTATACTGTACACAGGCTACCCGCCCTAGGGCAGGTATAACACTCACACCACCAATCCCAGCGCTAGACAATGAGCCAATCACAAACTCTAGATTCAGCTGCCTCCAAATAGACCACCCCCTATGATTGCATGAGGCTTTGGGGGGACAGCTAGACACAAACCATAACAATATCTTATTTTTTTCTATGTGCTAGATAAATTTTTTTTTATTTTATGTAAAAAAGTAAAGCAAAACTTCATAATAAAATAATACAAAAATAACAATAGTTAATACATTGCATATTGCTATCTTTAAAATAATTACTCAGAGTATAAGATATGGGCATAAAAAATTCTCTAACTGATATTAGCACAAACCTTCCTTTTTGTTGAACTAAGAGACACTAGCAGTATAACAAACTAGCATTTTTTTTCTTTTTCCTTTTTTTCCTCTCCCCTTTTCCCTGACAATATCTATAGTATGTTTTTACAATATCTATAGTATGTTTTAGACCTTATTTACTTTCAGTTTCTCACACCAAGGAGACAATGTTATCTTTACACATGTGAGTCTGATTATAGATGAATGCGTGCAACTTAACAATTTTCTCTTTCATGCATCCTGCTCTCACTGTGGCATCTAAAATGTCACCTCAAAACTCAAAATCACCTAGGTTTTCTTCTTTGTTGGTAGTTTTATAGTTTTATATTTTGTAGTCATGGTCTGTGATTCATTTTGAGATAATTTTTGTGGACTATGT